CGGGAGAAATAAACAGTGGTAATAAATTTCAGCGGCTTGTACAAATACGTGGATTATGAAAACTAAAACCATCAGAATTTTTGAAAATTTTTTGTTAATTATCTCGACTGAAAGAAAGTGACTTATCCGCATTAGGTCGACTGAAAATTTAGTTAAATTAACTGTTTTTGAGCAGAAATTTACCTTCGAAAGGTCTTGGTGAAAAATCCATTATCAATGCTGAAACACTTCTGTGTTTCAGAATCACCTTAATGTATCATTTTAATTATTAATTATAATTGTTTTTGGTCAATTGGTCAAAGCTGATTATTATTTTCCTTTCAAGGTTTCAATAATTATTTTATTTAATCATTGTTGTTTCGAATGCCATTAGTAACAAAGTTAAACACTTTCAAAGTCAGTTTTTATATGATCATTTTCTCTCAAAGAGCAATAAAACAAAAATAAGGAATGAAAAACATTTATTTGAAAATTCAAAATTTGGTGCAATGTTTTAATACAAAATTCCTTTGCATTGGATTAGAAAACACAAAAACGAGTACACCATTTTCACAATCTGAAACTGAAATGAGCAAAAATTAAAAAAATGCGATTTTTAACCTTTAGACCCAATTGATAATTGATGATAAGAGTATCAGAAAATCGTAGCTGAAACGGATTTTTCGACATAATTGTCATAATGGCAGCAAATTGCAAATTTTCGCGGTTTAAACTACACCATCCGATGGACGTATTTGCCACAAACACAACGTCTAACTGAAAATAAAATACAATTTTTGTCTTTAATCTCAATTGAAAGTTACATCAGATTCGAGACTTTGTCCTGTAAAAATAATTGCAAAAAATGTCGTTACTGAAACGAGACCTAGGGTGCAAATCCGTGCATATCTCCCTTCTAGAGTCCCTTCAAACTGATTTATTTTCAATTAGAAAGTTAGAAATCAAAAATTTGACTTACAGTAAAACAGAAAAAAAAAGTGTTGACAAAAAACAAAACTCCAATGATTGCAAATGAGGGCATCCATTTTTTAAACGTTTCCAATGCAAAATTTGAAACCCTGCAACACCAAATTATTTATATTTGCTAAGTTGGTACTCACATTCTCATATGTATGTGTCGTTTGACAGAAAATTTAAATCTTTGTTTGACTTTATTTTGGTAAAATCTGCTCCGGAGTAAAATACTTTCGTCTAAATCACCATCAAGGACATTTTTAGTAACATTTTTTGCAATTGTGATTAATAAATAAGCTTGAAATTTGATTTGGTGGGCAGTGTAGAGTAATTGATGGGCACAAGTGACCATGGCGTAACCCAAAATTAAAAAAGTCGCCCTGTATATAGCACACAAAATGGCGGAATATTTCGGAAAAGCTCTCTCGAAGAAATAGAAGGCGAAAAAAACATCTTCATCGTCTTTCACTGGAATCATAAATAAAATAACAGCAATTGTTGTTAAAATTAGGTTAAAAATGACGAAAATGTTGCAATAGAGTGACTCGTTTTTGATTTTCAAAAATGTTGATTTATTCAAAGAGTCAACAGCCCATCTGTCACATTTTAATAATACTGTAAGCACTCTATCGCCTGCTATAAGCAAAAACAACGTGTTTAGAAGTCCCTAAAATTACCCACAATTACTACAAAATTTAATAAATTGTTTAAATTACGTAAAACATTGAGAAAAAAACAGGTCCGTATTTGATGAAATCCGAGAACGGGAGAATTAAACAGTGGTAATAAATTTCAGCGGCTTGTACAAGTACGTGGATTATGAAAACTAAAACCATCAGAATTTTTGAAATTTTTTTGTTAATTATCTCGACTGAAAGAAAGTGACTTATCCGCATTGGGTCGACTGAAAATTTAGTTAAATTAACTGTTTTTAAACCGAAATTTACCTTCGAAAGGTCTCGGTGAAAAATCCATTA